ATATATATATATTGAATTTAGAACCATGCAAAGTTCGATATAAAATCTTTTTAATTGAAAAGTCCCCGAGTGATGGCGCTGCCTGTTCCTGATTTTTGTTTGTGTATGCAGCGCCGGATTTAGGGGGGGTCTTTGGGGGTCTATAGACCCGGGGCGCAAGCTTACAGGGGGCGCAAAATTTTTGACTGGTAATTTTTGTTTTTTACTACAACCTAAAGGGTTTTCCTCTTTTTTTAATTTTTCGTGTATTAATCAGTTTTAATAAAAAATTATTTAAATTATAACCGTGATTGTTGCCATAGTATTATTATCTATGCATAGTATACGAAATATGTCATGTCACGTATTACGTTGGGCGCCCGACAAGTTTTTGGGCGACAAGAACTTTAGTTTGCAGAAATTGATTATTTCCACCGATGCGATGCGTATGGGCGTAAAGGTTTTTTAATATAAGAATATTTTATTACACTACGAACAACTATTAATTTAAATTAGTTTAAAACTATAGTTATATACAGTACCAGTCATATATGTATGTATATATACAGTATAGGTATTAGCCTATTGAAAGATGACGTCAATATTCCGATAAACAAATTTGCTTCTCTAAAAGCACGCAAAGTTGAGTTGGCAAAATGTTAATTTTCTTATTTAGGTATTTGTTTGTTATATAGTTTTTGTTTATGTTTTTAGGGTGGCAATATTTTTTCGACTTTTTTTTTTTAATTCGGAGCTCACATGAAACAATTTAAGTTTAAAGTATTCAAGTTTCAACTCAAAATAGTTATTTACGATATAAGTGGGATAAGAGCTTTATTAACGTACGCATGCGAAATTTGCCCAACGAGTGCGTAGCACGAGTTGGGCAATCGCAAAAGTACGTTAATAAAGCGTTATCACACGTATATTGTACAAATTTTTATCTACGCCTCTAAATGAAAAAATAAACGGTAATTATTTTTGTCTAAGACTTAATTTAGGGTTATTTTGACATTTTGACTTTTTTATTTGATTGGTTAAAAGCAGAGAAAAACGCGTGCGTTAATGAACTTCTTATCTCACTGAAAATGAGTGGGATAAAAAATAAACGTCGCTCAAAAAAATCAACTAAATTGGAAAAATAGTAGTGGTTACAAGATCAAAATTATTAAAAAAATCAAGAAATGTATTTCAAAAATATTGAGCGACCAATAATATTTTGACTTAAAATGTATTATGTTCCTATACGATCTACAAAAAAAATAGTGAGAAGCCAAAGATTTTGAGAAAAAAGGTTGCAACCTTGGTTTAAAAAAGTTTTGAGCGACGTCTAAAATTTTTTTATCTGTTGAAACTCAAATACTTTAGACTTATTTTTTTTATTTGATCTCCAAAATCAAAAAAATTTCGAAAAAATACTACAACGTTAATGTTTATGGTTAAATAAAATCCTTTTAAGAAGTGACATTTCTTTGAATTTATTATATAGGTAGGGGCGGAAAATTTTTATTAGACCCGGGGCGCAAATTTTTATAATCCGGCGCTGTGTGTATGGTGTCTTGCATTAATAATGTATTTGAATTAAAAAAATCATCATTTGCACACCTATTTTTTAGATAACGGCTGTTGATTTGTAAATGGCTAAAATTACAGTTCATCGATATTATTAATGATAGGTAGGTATTTAAATTAATAATACCTACACAAGCAAAAATCATGAACAGGCAGCGCCATCGCTCGGGGACTTTTTAAACTAAAAAGATTTTGTATAGAACTTTGCATGGTGCTAAATTCAATATAATATACATATATTATATATTTTTTTGAATCGTATCAACTTATATTAAACTTATATTGTAATTAAATTGTAATAAATTTTACTTATAAGTATATTAGTAGCGGCTGGTGGATTTTATGTATATCAATATCTCAATTATTAGACATGGGACCCACACCAAATTTATAATAGTTTATAATGACATTAAATAAACAAGTTCGGCGCAAACAGAATTTAAATTGAAGTTTGCGAAAAAAAAGTTAGTTTTTCCTGTCGCCTCACCCGCCTCCAGGCCCCCCTATTTGAGATAATTTAAATTAAAGTGGTGCAATTTATTATCTACTATAATTTATCGACAAATTTAAAATTTTATTTAAAAAATCCAAATATTACAGATTTTTTTTCGATTTTAAATTTTTATTATTTATTTTATTAAAATAAAAAAATATTTAAAATGGTATAAAACCTGTAATATTGGAATTTTTTAAATAAAATTTTAAATCTGTCGATAAATTATAGTAGATAATAAATTGCACCACTTTAATTTGAATTATCTTAAAAAGGGGGGCCTGGAGGCGGGTGAGGCGACAGGAAAAACTAACTTTTTTTTCGAAAACTTCAATTTAAATTCTGTTTGCGCCGAACTTGTCTATTTAATGTCATTATAAACTATTATAAATTTGGTGTGGGTCCCATGTCTAATAACTGAAATATTGGTATACCCAAAATCCACCAGCCGCCACTGTATTATATATACATATATTATTTTTTATGCAAAACATTTTATATATCGAATAAAATAATTATGAAACATATGTTGCATTAATAAAGTATTCGAATTAAAAAAATCATCATTTGCACACGTATTTTTTAGATAACGGCTGTTGATTTGTAAATTATACGGCGAAAATTACAGTTTATCGATATTATTAATAGGTAGGTAGGTATTTAAATTAATTATAACTACACAAACAAAAATCGAACAGGCAGCGCCATCGCTCGGGAACTTTTCAAACTAAAAAGATTTTATATCGAACTTTGCATGGTGCTAAATTCAATATAATATATGTATATTATATATATTTTTGAATCGTATCATCTTATATAAAAGTTATATTTTTAAATATATATAAGCAAAATTGTAGTAAATTTTACTTATATATTATTTTTTCTGCAAAACATTTGAGTGAGTATATGAGTATAAGAGACGTATAACCAGCCCCATTTCCTCTTGACTCTCGAACCCCGTACAGGCCTATGTTTACTTACGCCGATTTTTGTTCTTCCCCAGCAACTGCACGGCTTCACCCGTGTTTGCTGGGTGCTAATGTCCATTGCGTTCCGTACTGTCCCCTATTTGGGGCTCGAGAGCGAGAGGCGAATAGTTTTAATAGCCATTCTCGGGTTCTCCGAGCCTATGCTATACGCTTAGTGGGGTAGGTGGTTTTTGGGGGACAATTACGCCGACTTAAAACTAAGTACGACGCGGAATCACCCTAGACCATTCGATTAGTATTACTCCAAACATTTGGGATTACTATTTGGAGTTGGGGAGTTGTTATTTCGCTGCAGGGGTGAAGTTTTCTAGTCGAGGTCTTCGTCTTGTTCGTTATTGTCATTGCCCGTGTCCTCAGTCTTGATGCCAAAAACCATCAATAGATAGTTCAGTAGCTGGATGTAACTTGTAGCTTTTTGTGTTTTTTTTTAAATTGTTTATTGCCGCAGAAGTGCGAAATTTCTAACAATTTTTTTTATTATTAGTTATTGTGTTGCCCAAGCACGTTTTGTGGTAGAGTTTTGTCTTTTTTTCTTAAATTCCAAAATTAAGTAATGCATTTATTTATTAGTTAATCAAATGACAAGCGCAATTATTATGTTATCTAATGTTTACAAATCCAGTAGAGTTTGAATATTATGCTTTTTTAAATTATGTTAGGATTATAATGATTAAAGTGTTAGTTTATTCTGTGTGTCTAGTGTTTATTATTGGTCTCGTTTGGATTTGCCTTATTTGTTGTTGACAGCTTTATTGTTCTACGCAGTGTGCCTTTCTTGACTTTTAAAGATATCGTCGTGTTTAATTTGCAGATTATGTGTTAGGTCATGATTATGCTTAAGGATACTTATCAATTTTTTGCGAATGGCCACCTCCCTTCTTGATTGACCTCCTTTGTTTGTCCAGTGAAAAGCGTCCAATGACAGGTGGCACTTAACTCATTCATCACTTAACACTTCACTCTTCATTGACCGTTGCACCATTTCAGTTTAGTTTAGTTTGCACTCTATGAAAATTGTTTGTTTCACTATAATTGGTTTGCACATTTTAAAAATTATTGTTGGTTTTAATCTTTAACCTTTTACGTTTCAATAGCACTCGCTATCGCGTGGTCCCTTCTCAAGTGCTGGAACCTAACTGCAAAAAAAAAAACCATTTTATATATCGAATAAAATAATTATGGAACATATGGCGCTTCATATATATATATTCCTTTCATGCATTCAACATATGCATAAAAGGCCTATTCTTATACGGATAAAAATTTTAGTTTGAACACTCAAATAACGTTATAAGTATAACAAATTATTATACAAACCTCCAACGTTATCTGAATGTTGGTAAACTTTTATTTCTACCAGGGAATGTCCCTAAAATAGTCGTAATTTGTTAATAACAATTCACATCTACCTTAATAATATTAGAAATATGCATGGTAATTTGTATGATTTGATCGATTGGAATATTTATTAAATAAATGAAAACAAAAAATAATAATAAAGACTGCCTGTATATGAAATGTATTTATTTAGATTAATAAGGAAAATATAATGGTTCAGAAGAATTTAGAATAAATGGTTCAAATACAAAAAATAAGAAATTAAAATGGTTTGTACAGTAACTGTTGTAAAAATGTTTTCTTAAACTGTAATACAGTGTAATATTTCATATATAAACAAATAAATAAGTAGTTACCTACATAAAAAATGTGTATTATTGTTTAAATAAAAAAAAATAAAATTTTAATTAAAAACTATTTTTATCGTTTTAAATCTTAGTGGTTAAAGTTTCTTAAAATTAGTTTTTATTTATAGATAGTTGTGTACCTACCTATTTGGATTAAAATAAAGCGTTTTTAAAAAATGCAGCATGTTTTAATTATAATTTTATTATATTTATGTTTAATTAATAACAAATAATATTAAAAACATATTTATATTAATAATTAAAAATAAATATTAATTTTAGGTGAGCATCCAGAAGCAATGCAACATGGCGGCAATCAGAGAATGGGCCCATCCTTGGGAGCTCTAGCCTTCATTTCATATATTCTTTTGGTGTACTGTTAAGTTTCATACCTGCTGTAAAGACTTACTTTTAGATCGTTCAATGCTGCTCAGAGTCGACATTGTGCGTGTTTATTTAAGAAAAATCTATGCCCTAACGGTGAATTAACTTTAAACTTTAGAAAGTCCTAAAAAATTTATTGCTTAAATATATGAGTAAATCTAGAAAGTTTACCTTGTAAAATACTTTACGTAAATAAATGTATGCCTTTAATAAATGTTTTAAAGTTAATTCACCATATTGTCCCAATGATGAAGTCCTCAAAAAACTATAGTTTTATTACGTATTGAATGTTACAAGAATTAAAATATAAAATAAAAATAGTATAGGTACTACCATTTTAAATATTTATTTTATGAATTACTACTTTAATGATGTCAAAAATAGACATTTTAAAAGAAAATCTAAAATATATGTATGTTTAAAATGCAGCACACCTAATAATTGTTTCTTGATACTATTTTTATTTTAGATCAAACTAATATTGTCAACTATTCAATGGTTTTCATCATTAGCTAAAAATAACTACTCCTAATATACTTAAGCTACATTCGTAATGAATTCGCTGGCCGAGTGGCACTTTGACAGCCAAAGTTTGGCTAGCAAGCTAAGCAAATGCATTAACAGTGTGATCGTTCACAATGAAATTTGGCGTTAAACTTTAACGGTTAAAGTAGAAGTTCAAATTTCTAGCAATAGGACATGCCCATTGCTTTTGTTATGTTGGTTTGACATTTTCAATGATTTATATGATTTTCAACAGTGTTAAGTTCTTTGTTTGTAGTGTTTTCATTGCGATTAAATTCCCGTTTCTTGCTTTTTTAGTTTAAAACACATCATAATAAAAATATATCACTAAATGAACTATTTACTTGAGTGTTGTTCATTTTTGCATTTAAACAATAGCACTAAACAAAAACAAAATATTTCAAATTTCAACTTCACAAAGAACATGACAGTTACCAACGCGCATGCATTAAATTCTACTCTTAAAGTTATTGTGAATGGTAAATTTCGTCCAGCAAATTCATTACGAATGTAGCTTTATACTTAAGTGTACATTCCCACAATCCAGGCCATCCTAAGAACCATCTAATTATACTATGTACTTGCACTAAAAATGTTAGCTTTTAGGAATACTTAATTTAAAATTATATTTTTTTGTTTATTTCTTAAATGTAGCTTTTAAATAAGTATGTAGGATAATAATGTATATGTTTAATTATTATTAATATTTAAATTGAAAATACAACATATACAGGGTGTATCGATAGAACAAAAAATTACAGTTTCTTCTGAAAAGTTTTATAGCATTTAAGTTTAAAAAGATTCGGTGATATAATTACATCTAATAGAGCTTGTATAAAAACAAGCCAAATAGGTAAGATAAGTAAGTTTGACATGGCTGTAGAAAGTATTTTAAAACCGCTTGTTTTAAAAAATCAAAACTTTTTATTTAAATCATCATAATTTAAAAAAGTTTTTAGTAAGTACAGGGTTATCCCCTAATATGTCGCCCCCCTTTAACTTTTTTATTTTAAGTGTCCCAAAAAATTTAAAAGTGTGGTTATGTAGGTACTAAAAATACTTTTTTTCTACGTATAAAGAAAATTGAAAAATTGATCGGTATACACGGAAAAACAAAAAGTTTATTTTTATTCAATGGATTATATATGTATATATTTTTCAATTCCTTGTAAAATTCTAAGCATATTTCATATAATATACCATATACCTAAATTCAACCGTTTTTGAAACATTTAAATTACTATTTTTAAGATAATAATTTGAAATAGTTTGTCTTTCTCTGTATGAGTACGCCATTTTTACTTATTTAACAAGAAATATTGACATAATGTCACTATAGTAATTCATTTTCAATAAAAATTTTGGTATACTAAGGCTTCTTGATTTCTAACAGTTTAAAAAAACATTTAATGATAACATTTCGAATGCGAATATTCCAGAAACGGTTGAGTTTAGGTATATGGTTTGTTATATGAAGTATGCTCAGAATTTTACAAGGAATCGAAAAAATAAATTCATATATAGGGTGATCCATTGCATATTGATCAATTTTCCATTTTTTTTAAACATAGAAAAAAAGTATTATTTAGTACCTACATAACCACACTTTTAAATTTTTTGGGACACTTAAAATAAAAAAGTTAAAGGGGGGCGACATTATAGGGGATCACCCTGTACATGTCAAAGTCAAAGTATTAACAAAAATATAAAATTTAATTTACTTACCTCTAAAAATATTATTCAGAATATTTTTTGTAATTGAAAAACGTCGTATAAGACACTTTGTGTATTACATTAAAATATTAGTGAAAATGAATGAATTTTTACAACATTTATTGTTATAAAAATATTATTTATAGACCGGATTCTTCAGTCATTAAACATATTTTTTCCCAAGGCGACATGTAGCAAATACATATTTTGTTGGCCTATGAACATACACAAAAGGCATTTTCCTTGAAATCCAGTCTCTAATAAAAATATTATTATAAAAACGATTACGTTTATTTTTAAAATAGCACCATTTGTAATTTAGATCGTACACATTTGTCTACTGTTTTTAAATTTCGAAAAATTAAGCTATTTTTAATATTTAATGTTGACTTTGCTTTAAACTTCATATTCATTCATATAAATAATTTATGATATTACAAAATTGTTGAAATATTTTGGAAAACTTCCAGGTTATAACCCAAGCATAAAAAATAAATTTCCCATAACATCATATTTTCAAAAACTTAATTAACTTACGTTTAACTTTGCCAGAAATCTAAAAATAATTTAAAGGTAAAAAATGTTTCTAATAATTTGTTATCAAGTTTGTAATCGATAATAACCTATACAGTAGTGTGTCCCACAACTCATGTATTTTTTTTAAACGCTGATTTGGTATTATTTCTGTTTTTACCATAAAATTCGCTATGAATGATGAATGATTAAAAAAAAATACTTAAAGGTCGGTAGTATATCAATTTTTATGAGGATACATACGGCTCTGTTTAGAGTTTAAGCCTGTCATTTTTTAAACAGGAAATTTTAAAAATCTAAAAAACCATATTAATCTTTTATAAATAACCATATTTGATTATTTGTCCCCCATTTCATTTCATTTCTAAAAAATGTAATCTTAAACGGTGTTTTATTCAAGTGGAAAAAATTGTCTGAAACATGGCAAAACTTGCAGTAAATATTGTCCTTTTAATAATTATCAATACCACGTACCAATAATTTTTTTTTCATTTTTTATATAGGATATTTTTATTAATTGGGAATAAAACGCACCACAAACTTGTAAAATGTCGGGCAAATTCAGGGGATTATTTTGGGAATAACAACATACGGTTGTTATGAAAATTTAGTCGCTGTACAGCGTCTTAGTTTCCATAACAACCCTTTTTACATGGTTCCTAAATCCGATTATAAAATACAAAGTTTTTTCCAAGGGATAAGCCACTTTAAAATTAGCGAGACCAACGTTCGACGTTATATGGACGTTGTGTTCTGATTTTTCTTATCAGTCGTTATCAATAAGGAATGATCCTTATCAATATAAATGCCTCTTAGCGTTGCGCATCACTACCCTTGTGATTGTTTTCCTTATGTAACTGTTAATTCGCGATTTTTAATTTGAAAAAATCAGTGGCTTACCCCTCGGTTTTTTTAACTTAACTACTGCATTACTTAAAAACTACATGTAAATGTTGTTATATTAAAACAACGCATTTACAGCGACTTAAAGTTTTCATGGTTGATATAGTTCTTGTCAAAACATACTATCTTAAAATACTAATAAAATAGTCGTTTTCACTTTTAAATAGTTATTTTTTACTACTTAAATAGTTAAAATTTGAATAATTTAAGATTAGTCATCATTTTTGACTATTTCTAAGAGTTAAAAGTAACTAATTTCTTTAATAGTTTGCGGCCAACAACAAATTATTCTTTGAGTTAAATGCATATAGGCTCCATGGTTAAATGGCCCATAAAAACAAACAAAGGTGCAAAAAGTTTAGCTCAAAACATCTACCAATTTGACTATTTCATTTAGTAGAATTTGACTAATTATTAGTGACTGCTTTTTCGCTATGACAATTAGTCAAATATGACTTATAATTAGTTATTTTTGACTAATTCATTTTAAGAGAATAAACTTAAAATCATTATATCTTCGTTAGTATGAACAAATTTTAACTTTCTATTTTTGAAAGGTTATTAAAAAATTGTGTTTAATCCTTTTATCTATTTACAAATAATTAAAAATTAAAAGAAGGGAAATAAAATTTAATTTTTAAAGCCTTGTAATCAATAAACAATTTTCAGAAAAAAATTCTACTTAAAATAGCCAGGAAACCATGTAGTATACAAAATTGTGTATTAAAATAATGTTCTTGTAAGTTTTGAGTCACTTTTATTCTTAATTGTGAAAAATAACCTACATAAAAAATAACTCATCGATGAGTTGTGTTGTTGGCCTATCAAAAGGAAAATATTTACTGCTTGTTTCGCTATGTTTCAGCCATTTTTACCACCTTAGTATACTAATAAAAAACAACAAAAAACAATAAATTTGATTTATTTTGGTCTAAAACACCATTTTAACTCATATTTTATATTGAAATAGTTCAATATTGTTATTTATAATATATTATAATGGTTTTGAGATTTTTTTTTAAATAACAGACTTACACTGAACAAAGCCTTTTCCATGATATTTTTTAAATATCTAAAAACTATTGGTGACTAGAAAAAAAATACATAAAAAAATAATTCATGAGTAAAAGTACCCAGTATAATAGGGTGACCCCATTATACTAATTAACTATATTAATAATATTATATTTTTTTTGGTGAAGGTATTTTTTAAAATTTATTATTGATTATAGTTTTAATTATTTGCAGTAGTAATGTATTTTGTTTGGGTTTGTTAAAATAACTGCTGAATTTTATAATACCTACCTATAATTCGGTGTACATAGTTAATATCAAGGATTACGTCAAATGAAATAATATTGTAGGTATATTATAAATTAAAATAATTAGTTATCACAGTTAACATTTGGAAATTAAGTTCTAATTCTAATTAGAATATGTAGAAACTAATTTAGTACCTAGTTTAATAAATGGTAGATGACACATTAAAA